GTGTGTGTGTGTGTGATTCCGTTGGCCTCTTCCCGCACGCACTATTATTATTTGGGTTAACGCGCGATTATTCGGCGGTGAAAGTGATTGCTGGCGGAGACGAAGGTCGAAGTGCACTACAGGAATGTGCAAGAAAATCTGTAGAGACAACGGAGCGGAAGAGGAGTCCTCAGATGATGGCGCGCGTGATTTCTTTTGACCCTTTCCTCACGTGCTATTATTATTTTGGTTGAAGCGCGATTATTTGGCGGTGAAAGGGACTCACGACGAGGTAAGACGAGTGTCAACGTGCACTTAGAGAATGTGCAAAAAAATAGATGGAGGCAACTGGCTAAAGAGGGAGTCCTCAGTTGACAGCGCGGGTAATTTCACTGGGTGCTTCACACTGGCTTTTTCTTTTTCCGTGATTATTTGGCTATGAAAGTGCTGCCGAAGAGGAGGCGGCTCGATGTGCACTTAAGCAATGTGCAAGGAAACAGGCGGAGAGAATGTGCGAGAGGAAGTTCTCAGACGATAGTGTGCGAGCGTATGATTTCACTGGGCGTGTCCCGCACGTACGTTACTTTAAATGTATTTAAGCAACTTCCTCCACGATTCTTTGTCGAGAGAGTGATTGCTGTGAAGAAAAAGAGCTGACGTGCACTTCAGAGAATGTGCAAGAAAAAAGGTGGCGAAGAACTCTTGATTTCCAGAGACGTTTCGAGAGCTTTGACAATAACACAAACAAACGTGTGGAAAGTTTATCAGCAAAGATCAGGAAAACTTGAAATTATGCCAGAACGCCAGAAATAAAAAAAAGGCAGTTTGTAAAATCAATGAAATGAAGAGAACAAATAATTCGAAAAATTCGAAAGTAGATTCTGATAAACCATTCGACGGAGAAAGTAACAGTTTCAATTGGAGCATGAACGTACACAATTCCCAACGGGTTCAATTACTTTCTGCTATCAGACATTAGCGATTTTTTCGTGATTGCTGTGTATCTGCAAAACAGTGCGTATATTCCCACTCTTCCGAGCTTCTTTGTTTCCAAAACGTGACGGTTACGTGTCTCTCAATTAGCTACTTCAGAATCGATGTAAAGTCGTTGCAGCGATGATGCAGCGTGATGTATTGTTGTTTCGGGGAACTCCCACCACTACACTAACGGGTGATTCAATGACGGAGGTTAGCGCTGATAACGTTACCGCGGGATTTCCTCTTCGTGTTTCACTCTATCAGCAGTAGATGCAGGATACAGTGATGAGTAACGAGAAGGTAATGCAAGCAACAAATCCTGCTTGGGCAGATTTTTCGTCTTTTTCCTTAAATCAAAAGTCGAGCGCCTACGCAAAACTCCTTAGCAACCGAATACGCTCTTTGTGCGTGGCAAAACAGGCTCATAACCAGTAACATGCTTCAACACTTCCGTATTCCGCCGACAGGTGCTCTGCCTCTCCCGTTAAAAAGACCTCACGTTCCTCCACCGGCCGCCAACAAACAACCTGTCGCCCTTCTTGTCCTCTTGAACCACACGCTTCGAGTGACGTCAATACCGGTGGCCCGCACACACGTACAGCCCACGAGGTTGCTGATAGCGGCCGCGCTGATAACGTGCGCGCTTTCGGATGCACGCGGAATCACACGCGTCTGTGACGTCACTGGAGAGCCGGGAGCTTCCCGCGGCGCGGCAGAATCGATCCCTCGTAGGTCGCGCGTTATCGAATACGTCCGCCGAACCCGCGCGGTTTAGGCTGCCACAACAAACACATTCAGCCGAACTAAGGATGGAACGGTTGCTACATCAGGTTTGTCTACCAAGACGAGCTGAATCCGTCGATTTTTTCCCCCTTTGAGTGTGTACGTATACGGCTGACAGCGTCTTCCGATGGTTTCTAGGCTCCAGCCACTCCTACGACTCTGCTTTCTCTTCCTCGCCGCGCTTGGGCTTCTCGAAGACAGGACGATCCCCTGCATGCGAATCGAGGGTACGCGGTGAAACCAGAACCGCCGCTGGACTATTGCAACTCGTTGCCTACGCACTCACATACACACTACCACGGAAGACTGATCCTTCCTTTACTGGCGAGTGGGTGGCGCCTTAGCATACAGGCAGGGGAGCGTATCTAACGTGTTCTGCATACGTTTACAACCCTGGGATGATGTGGCGGAGTTGTAGGCGAAGGTAGAAAACTTGTGATATCACCAGGTAATTATAGCGGTATGCTGATAAAGGAGGAACGACTGAGATGATTTTCAGAATACAGTATTCACTACTGATGACTCGGAAGAAATGCAACCTGTGGAACTAACGACAGGTAGTGTTAAAGAATTCAAAATAAAATATCAGAATTGGAAATGTATTTTCTCATTAGAGAAAAATCAAGAAAAGATTAAGAAAGCACTTTTTTTTAGATTTGTCTATCACTCTGAATTTGAACATTATCAACTGAGTGTAGAATGAAATGAATTATTACGCTTGATATCATGTAGAAAAGAGGAACCAGAATTCAAGATTGAACAGAATACAAATCGAGTCTCTTGCCAACTCTTGTGACTTAACTTAGATGTCTTCTCTTTTATACTTGGCAAACTTGTACTTCGTACATTCAGTGATTGAACGAACCAAAACAATTGTTAACAGTAGAACCAAAAAATTATAGCAATAAACCGTAAAATTTCACATTCGTCTGTCCACAGATGCAAAATAATCCTTCCCAGACGTAAAAGCCGTTGCGCTGATCGTTCGATTCAAACGACGCACCCGCACTGCCGACAACGACCACACCACGCTCTTCTGACTCAACCGGCGAACACGCTGCAGTTGCGTGGGAGGTGGGAAGCGTTACCTGGCGAGGCATAGGTCGGGCGCCGTGGTACCGCCACGCGGCCGCGCGCTGGGAGCAAAGGCCACAGCTGCGGGGGCGAGGTGCTGGGGCGGCCGGGAGAAAGCGGGTGGCGGCGGCGGCGGCGGTGGAGGCGGTTGCGACGGGTGAAGCTGGGGCGGCGGAGGCGGCGGGGCGGCAGCACAGCGGGCCATACCCTGACACGGATTCAGAAGGATCTGGGCCGCCCGCGAACCGGCCTGCAGCGGCGGCGGCGGTCCCGCTGCCCGGGGGCGGTGCTGGTGCTGGCGGCAGATGCAGACGGGGGGAGGGGGGAGGCGCCGAGACGCCGGCGCTCAAGGTCACCGCCTCCCGGGTTCGATGCCTGGCTCCACAAAGGCGATGGCTTCGGCGACGTCGGCGTGGCTACCTCCGGCGCTTAGCCTTTGTGACTCCGCCTCCCGGGGCTTCCAGCGACTGCACGCTCCGTGCTTGAATTGTCCTTGGCGTGTCGTCGCCGCCGCACGGCGTCGAGACAGTGAAATGATCGTTTTACCACTCCGCTCGGGTACTTTTTTTTTTCTGCCCCCCGGGATAGCGTTTCGGCGATTTGCGCGTAACCGCCGGCCCCTTTCTCTCGAGGTTCAAATGAGTTTCCTAAAAACCTCGTACCCTCCTTTACGTCTCTCGGTCGCGTCTTCTGCTCTCTGCTACGCTTTTCGTCTCGCTGCTGTTTGCCAATTTGCCGAATACCGATTCCCTTTCCTCGGTTATGTCACGGTTCAGTTCTCAGAACCAAGCGCAGGATATTTATGTTTGTGTCTCTCCTCTTGTTTATTTCTGTTGATGCCACACACGTTCTAACTGCCGATTTTTTGGAGACCGCAAAAAGAACGCTGAGCTCTACTTATTGCATAATCTAACTTCAGTTCGTTTATTATTCGCAACGGACTCTCAATTCGTCAACATCCAGTTCTTTGCGAAAGAGTGCGAGACTGCAGTAGAAAATCCAACTTTCTTTTCAAATTGAGGTCGAATGACAATCTGGTGAATTGTCAAAGCGACAGAAATGACAGGGAAAGCCGATGTCCAGGGATTTTGTTTCGGCGACAGATGGTATAGAAGGTGTTTCCGAAGAACTGCAAGATGTCACAGCATCAGTCGTTTCTTGAAAGGGACAACAGCTTTTGTGTTGTTTTTTTCTTTCTTCCAGACCTTCTATTTCTTCTTCAAGGTTACTCCTGACACGTCGAAATCTTTGGAAATTGGATGCCGGTGGATTTCTAAAGGACAATTACACCACTTTTGTCACGCCGTGGGTTCTTCAACTTTATTTTTTCTTTTCCTTCTGTTATTCAAAACTCCAAAGGTACCACACTAAACAGTGTTCATGTTTATCTTCCAAGAAAGAAACAAACGAAATTCGTACTCTCTTAAAAGGTTGAAATCAGTGTTTTGTCTTTAGAATACCATAAAGCCACAACCAATTTGATGAGAAAAAAAGTATTTAAAATAATATTTAGAGTGACTTATTGTTTTTAACTAAATTCAAGAAGGTATTGGAATATGTTTCACTCCAACGCCTAAAACGAATATCTAGAAAAATGCAGAACGATGTCTCTACAATAAAGCAAAACGTAACTTCTACAAACATTCAATAATTTATCTTCCAGGAAATGATTTCGACACTTCAATAACTTGCAAGATTCCGAGGTGGTACGTCACGACGCTGTTCAAACCGAGAAGATAACACAGCTCTTCCAGCAGGAAGCGTTCCGGCAGGAAGGGGAGTAAAATAGGATTATTCAACAGGTCGGCACGACCGGGTACGGAAGCCAGATACACACACGCACGTACGCAATAGCGTCCAGCCGGCGAGGCGTGCGTCGAGGTGCGTGCGACGGCAGGCGCGAAGCGTTCACGTGGGAGCGCCGCTCCGCATCCACAGACACATCCACAGCCACCTCCGCATCCACCAGCTTTCCTGCGACGGCCGGACCGGAAATGTCTGAGCTTTTTCCCGCCGTCTCGCCTCGGGGGACGTCTATTTAACCGCACGGTCGGCGATGGTGTTGCTGTTCGATGTCGGTTCCAGCGGCCGGGGCTTCTTGATATCGTTTGCCGACGTTCGCGCAAATGTTGTGGAGTAAGCGTGTTTGAAGGTCAAAAGTTTCCCTATGCAACGGCTCTATTGAAGATAATACTAACGGCGTCAGCCAAACAGTTTGCACATAGACGGCTATCTTTATTCGAAGCAACTCTATACATTGATGAAGTTTCTTGAATTTCAAATTATATATTAATTCGTGTTAAAATATCACACCCGATTGATATGTAGCCAATACACGAAAATACTCCAGGATCTTCACACAAGTCCTTCATACTTCTTTCTCAATGACCATGTCACGGATGGAAAAAAAATAGTTTGTTTTACTTTTTCGCATTTTAATATATTTCTCTCGCCATATAAAATTAGTCGGGCGCTTTATTTTATTTTCCACTAAACTTTCCTTAAAGCAAAAAATCAATAAATATCCCGTCGAAAGATCATAGCAGGGTAGGGCTTCTAACAGACTTACCGGACGACGTTTTTGAAGGATCGGGAAGGTCACCAGGTAAGGTGGAAAAAGGAACCTGGAGAAACGAGCAGGTAAAATGCTCGTAAGATGCAATTCGTCCAGATAATGATCGTAAAATAATAAGTTCCTTGGTCGTTCCTTCAAGGCTGTGGATGCAAAACAATGTTTTTCTTCCCGCAGCAATATCTCAACGTCAAGATCAACTACGGAACGAGAAGCGGGACTAAGCGGTTTCTTCAAGGTTTCGGGTTCGATACAATGGACGTCGCCTTTCCTTTTTTTCCTGGTTAATTATCTCCCAGTTTGCACGCGTCGGAAAGAGAACGCATCATGCACTTTTTAAACAGGGTTCGTGACGTCAGCTTTCTGACCAATCAGAGTCTCGTAAAAACACTGTCCAATGGGAAACAAAGTCACGTGGTCCACCGCTCGGTATCTCTCCGTCGAGAGAACGCAAGCATTTGTCGCCTCTTGCAATCTTCATGTCCTGGCCAACACGCCGACCGATTGAGCACACGTTGCCTTCAAACACCTGGGCCAGGAGTACCAGGTGATTCACCCAAAAGCAGTGTTTCCCGGGCGGGTTTACCATGGACGGTCATCAGTTGGTTAGTGCCGCAACCGATGGTTGGTGAGGAAACGGTTTCGGCATACCGCGAATACCGAGGTGAAGAATTGCAGAGACCGATTCGCAACCGAATGACGATACCGAACACGCAGCGGGGTTTGTTTGTGGTCGTCGTCGAGAGATAGTTGAAGTTTCCGATACCGGCCGTACACCAAGGCCACGCCGTCTCAAGGTCGCACGCGACTCGTCGCAACCGAAAGCGCGGGGCCGAACCGCGAGCAACACGGCGAACCCGGAAATGCAAACCACTCCGCGCCGAACGAACCGACTCCGCAAACGAACCGAACCGATTACTCCTTCTCCGTGCGGGGGGCGGGCTCTTTTAAAGCGTCACCTGCGAGACGATGGGGTCCCCGGAG